CAGAAACTCCGCGCGGAACAGGAGTTTCTTTTTCCTGTAACCGGCCGGACTGACAGGAAGTGCACACTCAGTGTGCACCCTCCTATCACTCCGGCCGGCTGGCCGGCCACCGCAGACCAGAGTGCAGCTCGGCCACACTACAGGGGAGGGGAGGGGAGGGGAGAAGCTGCAGCCGCCTTTTATAGATTCCTGATGTTTTTGTCTCTGGTGTTTTTCTCTCTGTGTTAATGTGCTGCTGTGGAGTTCTAGTAAAGAGAAACTTAAGCAAATATGAAGCCTCCTGTCATTAATAAAATTAGGATAGCGTATTGGCCGTGAAATTTAGCAGCAATTAAATCGTTGGATACTTTAGTGACAGCTGTTTTGACAGAATGACCAGCGCGGAATCCAAACTGAAGGGGGTCGAGCAGAAAGTTGGATTCGAGAAAGTCAGTCAGTCTGGTGTACACAACTCTCTCAAGGATCTCGGAGGCAAATGGCAGTAGCGATATAGGGCGGTAGTTGGATGGGGAGTTGAGGTCAAGGTTGGGCTTTTTCAGAATCAGGGTTACAGTTGCATGTATGAAGGGTGAGGGAAATGTGCCAGAGGAAATGGAGAGATTGAAAATGTTAGTGAGAGGAAGTGACAAAGTGCGGATGAGATTTGAGGGAATAGGATCGAGGGAACAGGTGGTGGGGCAGGAGGGCCGTAGTAGAGCAGAAACCTCTTCTGCAGTAGCAGGTGCAAATGTGTAGAATGATGGAGGGAGTGGGGTTGGGTGATGTATTAGTAGGGGAAGGAGAGAAATTAGCGATCTCTTTTCTGATTGTAGAGATCTTCTCAGTGAAATGAGATGCAAAGTTTGTGGCAGACAAGGTGGTAGAAGGAGAGGGATTAACAGGGCGAAGAAGGGCATCAAAAGTGTGAAACAGGTGTTTGAGTTGATGGGACAGTGTACTTATGAGGATATTAAAGTCATTTACTTTTGCAGCAGAAAGAGCCATGCTGTAGGAGCGCAGCATAAATTTATAGTGGAAGTCAGCTGCAAAGTGAGACTTTCTCCAGCAGCATTCAGCAGTTCTAGAACATTTTTGGCGGTAACGGGTCAGCTTGGTGTGCAAGGTTTGATGTCAAATGTTAGCAGATGGTGGTCAGACAAAGGAAATGGAACAGTGGAGATATTAGAGGTGGTACAGAGATTGGTGAAGATGAGGTCAAGAGTTTTTCCTGCAGTATGAGTTGCTGAAGAAGACAACTGCATGAGGCCAAAGGAGGAGGTTACAGAGAGCAGACTGGAGGCATCAGGGCAGTTGAGGTTGTTGATTGGGATGTTAAAGTCCCCAAGTATGAGGGAGGGAGTGCTAGAGGAGAGAAAGTGGGGTAGCCAGGAAAAAAAAGTGTTCAATGAATAGCCTAGGAGTGGTGGTGGTGCTTGGAATTTGATAGATGATGGCAATTCTTAAAGGAGTGGGCTTAAAAAGGCAGACAGTGTGAACTTCAAAGGAAGTAAAGGAAATGGCAGGGGCAAGGAGGATAGGTTGAAGGGTATATTGAGGGGAGAGAAGGATGCCTACACTGCCTCCCATATATTATATATATTTATCATATTAATAATTTAAGTTAAATGTTTTATGATATTGTTGGTTATTTTAATAAGACTGTGGCCTGTTTATGTTCTGCGTCTCATCATTATTGGTTGGTCAGGTGGCATCTTGGGAGAGGAT